CTACTCCCTGATCTTTGTGTTTGCAAGTTACGCCGCATCTGAACATCTTATTACATCTTGTGCCTCTCTGCACTCCCTCCGTCCTTCTTGTTTGTTTCCTGTCTATTTCTATCATTCTCACTCTCCCTCTCATTCATTTGGCATCCTTCCATTTCTCCTCTGTACTCACTCTCGCCTCAAGTATATTTATGTTTACACACAAGTCTCTTTTCACCTTTATTTTTTCACACCTCTTTTCCTCCTTCATATCTTCTCCTCGTTATTAAACTTCCTGTGGATTTCCATCTCACATGCAGATTTTGCATCACTTCAGAGTGAAAGAGACGGAAGAGGTGGACAACCTTTTCCATTTCCCCAGAGAAGAAACACTGCATGTTTCTGTTGTTTGCGAGTCACCTGCAATAGACTTTCTCACTTACTAGACTGTAACAGTGTGAGAGGGAAATGATGCATCACACCTCAGAAATTCCAGTTTGCTCAAGGGAAGGAGCCACATTTACAGGTCAGTAAATGTGCCATGTTTTTCTAATTACTGGCCCAGAGGTTTCCATGCATATTAAATCTGTGAACACAGATTTATTGTTACTGTAGCTACTTTCAGACATGCATTGAAGTCCGGACGTTTCTTGAAGTTTTCAGGAGGGGCTGTGTGTGACAAAGCAAATGTCCGAGTCAGTTGCTCCAGACATTTACCAGAAACTAAAATGTCCAAAAAACATGAGCCCATGTGAGAATAAAGCAGGTCAATGTCAGCAAAATGCAAAGCAAGTGAGTGGGCGTCTTGGTGACCTTTCTAATTAGGAACCGATGCAAAACTGAAACATACCAAAAGGGGCAGGATGAAACAAACGCTGATGAAGATGTAAAGTTGGAAAGACAACGAGATTAAAGATCTTTTGACAATTAGGACAGACGTCGATATCGATGTGCTGTAAACAAAAACAGGATTCTCGCTTCGCTTCCAACCGGATATTCTTCTTATGTTATGTTGTGTTATTTTATATTGTGTTGTGCCATTCTATGTTATGTTGTGCTGTTATGTTGTGTTGTGTTATGTTGTGCTAAATTAAGTTGTTGTTATATGCTGTTGTGTTATACCTCTTCTTTGCACTATTCTCCTGCATCCTGCTACTTTGCATATTGTCCCTCATAAGAACATGTTTTTTTAAGCCCCTCACTCTCATCTCGCACGCCTCCTCACTTTTGCTTTCATTCTTGGTCTTACACTCCTGTTATCTAACAATGTGTTTGCATTTTTCCTCCAGCCTCCTCTTCCTCATCCGCCTCCTTCTCAGCTGCTCTTTGTCTCTCAGTTTGGTGTGTATGGTGGTTAAGCAGGGGAACGTATTTGTGTCTGTGTGTGTGGGTGCGTCTCTGTGTGTGTTTATATGTGTGTGTGCTTTCCCAAATGTCTGAGCACAGCGGCTGCCTGTTTCCCAGCGTGACATGTCAAAGAATTCAGAGTCTGAACTCCGATCTTTCAGGTGACACACTGATCAGTGAATGTGGCCATGCATAATCAACCACCTCTTTGTTTACCTCTGATAATTAACCACAGCTAATTAGGAACTGGCACTTACCACTTCATCTCTTCACAGCAACGCTAGAGTTACTCACTAATTAGCTTTGTTTTGCTTTAAAATTGCTCCACCTAATCATTAACTGTGCTTTCTATAGCCTTGGGAAAGTCAAAGAAATAATGTATCAACAACTGCACCAGTGCATGAAGGCAAAAACAAGACCATGAACAAACTTGTTCTTCACAGGCAGACTCAGACTATCTGAGGGAAGGAGGGTTATGCTGTCTTTACAGAGTCTCTCTATTTCATAAGCGGAGGTAGACCTGTGCAATGCTAATTACAGGAAACACTTCACTTCCATTGTTTGTGAAGAAAGAGCTCATAGGTTCAGGAACGACTCCTGCAGAGGAGGTGCATTGACTAACAATAGACGACACAGACTAGGGAGGCCAGCGTAGTGAGCGGCACACTGCACCGAGCACCGGTGGGTTGGGGGATTTTGTTTGGGGATGGGAACATTATGAAAGTCTGTCATTAAACCTCTCATTTGTATTCAGAGCAAAAGGCCCAAGCACTTCTCCTGTAATGGCCACATTCGAGAGGAAGGAGGAAAAAAGTGGCAACAGGCTTCAGCCGAAGAGAAGTAGGCAACTCGCTGCATATCTGCGAAAAACCTGCTCAGGTGGAGGCGAACTGGAAAGAGCAGATTAGACATTGTCTGAGAATGTGTTAACCACAGTCATTGTTTTTGTTCGATGTAAAAGTGTAAAGTGCAGGTTGTTCCTGAACAGAGGCGGATATTTTTTCTTAGATTTTACTGGGAAAAAAATCCTGTGTTGTGATTTCTCGTTTCAGGATCACGGAAAGTGCAACTCCACGATGACATCATCTAATTACTCTGGTTGAGATGGTGGAAGAAAACAAATTATGGATGGTCGCGTTCCCATGCCGACATTAGGTGGTTGTCCCTATCATTTTCCTATATCTTATTTTCGTGCCGCGGAACAGGCTCGGTGCAAATTCCGTCAGGGTTTGAGGTGAATAGGGTTGTGTTTATGTGCATGTGTGTGTCTATATTTGTGTCTATGCAGTCGTGCAAGCCTACAGAGATCCATAGATATAAAAAAATACATACATGAGGGCGGTTTCACTCCATCTTTCTGTTTATTCATGCATTATTTCAGGTTGGTATGAAATTAAAGGTCTGCGTAGTTTCCTGATGGAGTTTTGACATAAATGTCTGCGGTGCGGTGGAAGCTTTTCCACAACAGATTTTCAATTGCAATGCAAATGACAATTATGTTGGCCGTCCCTCTCACCTTCTTATCTTCCCACAGAGCCAGAGAAAACAATCGGACTCTGAATAGGAAAAAAGAATGGATCCACCGGGGTGAGCGCTCTTCATGAATACATAGCACATCATTCGGGATGACCTGCTTGACACCGAATAGCACACAATTACCATGTATATGTGCCTTTCTGTATTTGCACAGTTGGATTGGTAATGGTTTGTCAGTTTGGACAGAATTCTTAAACGCAGATTGCATAATACCGTCAATACTCAAATGCATTTAAGTCCTCTTGAGTCTGGTTCTCCTGCAGCAGAAAATAAAGAGTTTACACATAAAGAGCTCTGTGAAATGGTCGTGTGGGCGTCTCACTCCAGGTGATTATTCAAAGATAAGGACAACAGAGCGCTGCAGTGTCAGACCCGGGTTAACAAGAATTGCAAATAGATATTATTTGTCACTTTATCTGCTCGGAGCCGCGGGTGAGTGGGAGTGACAGCGGCGTGACAATTAAACTGTCAGATAACGTGTGTTGATGTGCAATCAGCAGTCTCACCTGACAGTTTAATTATCTGGTGAATCTATCAGAACAACTCTGAAAGCCTTGACCTTCTAAAGTTTCATCCATGTTCCTGTGGTTTAATTCAATCGAGTTCAGTTGAAAGAAAAACATGATTGATTGCTTCATTCAGAAAATCATGAGGTTTCATGGAGTCTTACATTGTGGTTACATCAGGAGAAACTTGCACCATCTGCAGTCCCTCTCTGCCTTTCTTCAACATGGACCAACAACACTTTCCCTGCAGCGTTCACCTGATGACGTCCCTGCATCCACATGCCCATAGACTCTGTGCTATTATATTCAATATGCACAAAGGTTTTCCTTCATCCTGCTTGTTTTTTCTTGTTTACTGTGATACCTTTGGAGCTGTTACAGTGCTAAGCAGGCATAGCAAATGAAGTGCCATGTCAAGCAGAAGCAGGCCTGAAAACCCCCTCCGGCAATATGGCTCACCAGGCTGAACGAGCAGCTCGGGGTCCAGATTACTCATGTCAGTGGAAGAGAAAATGAGAATCAGGGTATGCATTTCTGAAGCTAATGTGCTCCTAGCTGAATGTACAATCTTAACACGTGCAATTATCTTTTCTTTCCATTTTTGACCAGTTGAAACCCTTTGATTTAACATAAAGCTTTGCATACTGTATACACTGACAGTGGCCTCTAAATGTCTGCGCTCACACAAAGGAGTCATTGAAAACCTGTTGGATAAAAACACCACCTTCAGTGCAAGAAATCACTGTGCAAACACACAGGATGTTGCCCAACCAGTACTCGAGCAAGGGTGGTGCACTTGAATGATAGATAAGGACTGAGGAGAAAAACTTAACTCACTCGTGGGTGGACGGCAAAACCTGGAGAAACAGCTTAACGTTATCACTTTGCAAATTCTATAAAACATGTTTTTTTTGCAACTTGTAATTTATGGCTCTCATTTGTAAAGTATGACTGAGCTGTTTTATTAACTCTACATGGATTAAGTCTGTATTTGTTTTAGATAATTGCTTCAAGCATATTATAGGGAAGATTTTGAATCCCTTGTTGTTTGTTTTCTTTGTAATTTCTCGTTTTGTTCACTCCCATGTACCTTTATTTACAGCATTTTTTATCTTTCTTTAGATAAGTGCAAGATAGAAATAGTTTTAATTTGTTTTACCTCCTGTAGGAGTTTAATTTGCACGTAAGCAAACATGATAGAAAAACTGATTACATGACGAAATGATGAACAATTGATCATTGTAGGTGTAGCTGTTCTTAAATTAGAGCTGCTTCTATAGTTATTTACAGAAAATGTGTAATAAAGTATAGGTTATTATTGGATAACATTTATACTGCAAAATGTAAATTTAATTCAATCTACCAGGCAATAGGATTAAGTTACTATAATAAAAAAAAACAGGTGCCTGTGATGTAATACTTCTAAATTCTGTAAATCACAGTCAACATGTGTTAAATATATGTTAGAGGCTCATGAATATATGACGCTGTAATGTTGTGCACAGGAACCTGCGGAGCTCGCGTCTCTCGGACAGCCCTCTGATTGGCCATCTCCGACATGGGGGGCGGGGCTCGCGGCTGTGGGCGTTTCACAAAACCAGCCTCCACGCACCTCCAGCTTCATTCACTACGGATTTGACGAGTTGTCGCGACCTCTCTGCAGTTTTCACTCCTCAAAGACTTGACTTGCTTTATTTTTTTATTTGTTTTTTGTGCGCTTCGGGCTGCGTCCTGCGTAAAGTGCGCGCAGTGCTCCACTCACCTCCTCTCGGTTAAAGTTTCTTTCTTTTATTTGAATATTTGTTAATTAAACCCCACCTGAGTTGTGATTCCTCTCGTGCACGCTTCCTCTCCTCCACCATGGATTTGGTTTGGATTGTGGGCTTCGTAGTGAGCGTGTGCGCCTGGTGTGCGTCAGCGGAGCGGCACAGCGTCTACTGGAACAGCACGAACCCAAAGTAAGCATCTGTTGAATTTTTGCCGATTTCAATTCCGTGCATTCGAACCCACCACTGCAACCACTTCTTTAAGCATCCATGCAAAACCAACATCTTCAATATAAATCACAGATAATCCGTGCACATCGTGAAGATCCATATTCAGTTGCGTTTGTGTGGTTGCAGCTTCATGCATATTCAAGGCTCTGGTTGTGATGAATTTGTGATGGAGGCAACTGCCTGTTGTTGTGATGATAATTCAGTTAATAGTTGCATCTGAGTCTCTCTCTCTCCCTCCCCCACCTCCCCATCCATCCCTCCCTCTCAGGGCTCGACCCTGTTATTATGCTGCTGTTTACCTCTAATACTTTGTCTAACCTGTTCAGATTCTATCTATTTCGCAATCTCTCTCTCTCCGTCTGTGTCTCTCTCTCTCTGTCTGTCTCTCTCTCTCTCTCTCTGTGTGTGTGTGTGTGTGTGTGTGTGTGTGTGTGTGTGTGTGTACTACAGGATGAGTTACATCAGGTTTTTGTGATCTGTTTATCTTAGTGAAGTGACAGTGAGCTGGAGGAGCTGCTCACTGTGACATTTTTTCTGTGGCACTCACTTGTTCATTTGAAGGGGGTATGAGCTATGATTTCTATTTCCTCCTTTTCACTCACGTACAGCATGTAGTTTTCATTATTTGCTACAAGTCCTTGAATTTGCGAGGGCTTACATTTCTTCCTGGCAGTGTTTTCTGTGTGCATGTGTTTGTATCAAAGGCCTGAATCACAGCACAACATGTTGAAATATCTGTTGCAATATTCTCCCCATCGGACAGAGAGGCCTACAACCTCTGTGTGGAGGGGTGGGAGGTTGCCACATCCACTAAATCAAGAGATATCGCATTGGGGGGTTTTAACGTGTCTGTCGGGGAGACATAGAGTGTTCATATTTCAGGTGGTAAGACGAGTAATAATGGTGTATGACAGAGACAGAGGAGGTAACTTGAGAGCTGCCCAGTAGGTCACGCTGTGGGAGAGAGATGGATTGCTTAGGGAGGAGAAATTGGAGCTGAAATTGTTGGGGTGAGGGGCCATTCGGCATAAGTGGGGGTCAATTAGAATTATGGTTGATGATGGCTGGGGTGAAATGGCTCGGGGTAGGGGAAGGGTTAGGTTTACACACCACAGATGAACTTCTATGTGCACCCACACACAGATGGGCAAGCACAAACAGAGACTCCTGGCAGACAATCACCAACCAGGACGCTCAGTCAAACAAACTGACACCGTCCAAATCAATCAGTGTGTGCAAACACATGTCTGGTCTTGGTTTGAAACACCTAGATACCCAAAGTATTCTCACAGAAGCTCACACTCACACAGCACCATCTCTCCCCTCCTGAGCTCCACTGCGGTTAAAACTACATTTACTGTTCTCAGAAAGACCATAATTACAGCGACAAAGCCTTTCACTGAAAATCAGAATGAAGTCAAAGTCCCCAGATGGAAAGGCGTTTTGCTGTGTCCCTGCTGCGGAACAACAGTAATCATTCCTGTATATATACTTGTAATCCGTTCCTTTGCACTTGCTATTTTTTTCCGGATGACTTTGCTAAATCTCTCCCTTTGGCTACTCTTAATCCTGTATTCCCAGAAAAAGCACAGAGTTTCTGAGATGTGTTTCTTTTTCTAATTCGGTACTTTTCATCTCTCCCGGCAAACTGCTCTCCCCTTTGACCTGTTACTCGACAGACGTCCCTCGTGAGATGTCTCTCTCTTTGTTTCTTCAGCCTCTTCCATCCCACTGGTCAGGAAGCTGCCGTTAATCAAATCGATCACAGATTGATCACTTGTGGTGCAGGCTCATTTCCTTTTTCCTCACTGTGTCGACACATGCGCGGCTGCCCTGCTCACCACTCATTTCATTGTGTGTGTGTGTGTGTGTGTGTGTGTGTGTGTGTGTGTGTGTGTGTGTGTTTGCTCGTCCGCCTTGGGGCCTGCTGACTCCCAAGGTCGTATCTGCCCGCACTTTAACGACTGCTTTGTTTCAGCGTGAGTGAAATCTATTCCCGACTGTGTGTGTGTGTGTGTGTGTGTGTTTGTGTTTTAGAGCTTTCTGACCTTTTGCGTTGCTGTTGTGTTTGTAACCTTTAGTGTCTGATTAACAACGTGCACGGATTGATTCCCAGAAAAGAGGCTCATTGGTGTTGCCTAGTCAGCTGAGGTCCCGGCATGCCAGTGTGTGTACGTGTCTTGTTGTCAACGGAGTGACTGTGCCGGAGCTCGCTCACATGTGCAACAATGCATTCAAGTGACTCACACGCTCTGATACACACACACACACACACACACACACACACACACACACACACACAAGCACACAAGCCACACAGTTGTGATTGATGTTAACATCGTCCCAGGAGCCCTGTGGACTCTACAACTCTAACGTGAGGCAATAATCTGCTCTTTCACTCCTTTCCCTCTTCTCCTTGCTGACAGAGCATGAGTCGACCACCACCACCCCCTCCTCTTCCTCCTCCTCCTCTCTGTACCTGTCTCTCCCTCTCTCCAGCACCTCCCTCCCCCTCCTTTTGGCCAGGTTCCCTTTCTCAACTTGGTTCTGTGGTCTGCAGCTCGGTGAATCTGTTAACCGTTTCATGGCTCATGCTCACACACACGCACACATCTGTTAGAACGACTGTTTATTTTCACTTCATCATCTTGGCCCGTCTTCGTAACCGTCATCTCTGTTATCTTAAAACTTTATTTTTTTATAACTAATCCAATCTAATTCCGAAGTCTTAATTTAGCTGTTTTCCAATGAGCTGTTGGAATTTGATTTAAATAAATGCAGCATTCACTTGTAGGTTGTTTCAGACCACCATTTCTGGATCAGTGGTTTAATCTGATTGCCTTTTCCAAATAAGTTATATTTTCACCCCTGTGTTTGTTTGTGAGCAAGATTACTCAAAAACCACTGGGTGAATTACCGCAAATCTTGGTGGCAGGATGCCGTATGGCTCAGGGAGGAACCTATTAAAGTTAAGGGCGGATCCTGGAATTTTTTAAATCCGTTTCTCTAACATTGTTAGATATGGAATTTTTTTTCCATTTTCTCTGATTTCCCATTGGAATAATTTTTGATGAAATAAATCAGACATATTCATGAGACTGATGCTTGTGTGCAATCTGGTGCAACTAGATTGAGTTTAAGGGGACGTTCTGTGCTGTGTTGGCTCAAATTGGGGACTTATTGAAGCTATGTTTCACAGACATGGAGCATTTTCTTGGTCTTTATCCAGCCAGTATGGGTGTTTTTGGGATACTTCCTATACAAATTGGGGAAGGGTCTTCACAGCGAGCCACAGAAAGAGAATAGTAACTGGTGTGACTGATTGGGGGTCGGAGTTCACTATGTGATGAAGTGGCACAGCCTCTATCAATCTGTCAGTCATTCTGTCACAGCAGCGGTGCCTGAATACTGGCTGCCACTCAGGCCAGCCCCTCTTCACACGGCTGTGGCTCTGCCTCTGGGAAACTGTCGTCCCCCCGTCCCTCCTTCACCAGCTTTTATCTCAACTTTACAAGCTGTCCCTTTTCAGTCTATTATTTCCTCACCTCCAACTCGGGCTCTTGGGAAAGGAGGGAAGCATGCTAAGAGGTGTGGAATTTTTTATCGTCCTTGGCACCCATGGCAATCCGTCACAAGGCACTTTGCCCTTTCCTTCACGCTTTCTCCCTCTCGCCTAAAGCTTTCTTCTCCTACATCCCCATGAAAAGACACTCCAGTCTTCTCAGCAAACCTTTTCCCCTCTTCCTGGTCCTTTCACTTGTCCGTCTGTCGTCCAACGTATTCTTCTCCACTCTCGAGGGCCATCGCTGAAGCAGTGAAAAGAGGTTGAGTCATAGTGAAAAACGCAGGACAGAAATTAAATGAAGGAAAAACAAATGTGTAGGAGTAGGTTCAAATGTCTGCTTGCATTCCATGTATTTGAGTGTGTGGATGTTGGAGCGATGAGAGATAAGATTGGGTCATCACACTGTGATTTCCAAGTAATCTGAACCGAAGCTACTTCCTCAGAAAAGCATCGAAGTTTCCCACTTCACCTATTAATCCAGCCTTCGCTCTAAACCCACCGCAGTCCCTACCCCCTCCTCCGCTTGGTTGTCATTCTCTTCAGTAAACTCTTTAAATCTGTTTCCATCTTTTCCTCGCATCATCTGTGCCCCCTCTCCTCCCACCACCCTTAATCTGTCTTGTAATCTGTCTGGTGAATTCAATCTGGGGGGAAAATACTCAGAGCGATTTCTAAACGGATGGTAATCGGCTCTTATAGGCTCAATGATCATTGAAATGTGTTTATGATTTTTCTTGTGTCTCTAAGGAGACTTGGTGACAGTATTGACCAGAGGATATTTTCACCTGGTTCAATATCCCTGTGTTCGACTGCACTAGACAGTGAATTCAGGCTAAAGGTCTTAACTTCCCGAAGGCGTGCTGGTGGTGTTACCAAAGTCTGCACGCTGTCTGCTGTGTGTTTCCCTGTGAAGTGAAGCTCTTCCTGGCTACGTCTTTTCCCGGGAAAACAGCGTATCCTGTCTGCACAATAAACAATACAGTTCTCACACACCAACACACGCGAGACCGTAAACGCCTGGACTCCCGCAGGGGTCAATTGAATTTCCCAGACTTGTTTGGGAAGTGAAGTAGGTGGATTAGGAGTCATTAATAGTGATAAATTGATTTTCTTATGACGGATATGCTGAACCATTGAGCATGGAGGATGATTTGGGATCACACATGCCACTCAAATCTCTCCCCCTCTCTATTTCAGATTCGCCCCTGATCAGTGTTAACCCCACCAGCGTATCTCTGACCTCTGCCCATCCTTGTGCCTCTTCCTTATCTACGCTGCAGACTTCCCCTGCTCCTTCCCACTCTTCCCCTCGTCTCTTCCCTGCTTCAATCAGACGTAAAAGCAGAAAGGAAGAGACGCACTCTTCGTACACATATTTAAGATCACGCTGCAATTA